ACCAGCCCTGGGCCCAGAGCCTGCAGGGCCTGGGGGTCGGGATGGCGCCTGAGTCTGAGCCCTGTGCAGACCCTTCTGCTTGTTTAATGAGTTTTTAATATAAAATCGTGAGACCGCTTTCCTTGGGAAGTGGCCTCTAAACCAGCTCTGAGAACAAAAACGAAGAGCTCTCCAAAGAAATGCCTCTGTGGTGATCCCAGGGGCGAGGGAGGCTGAGACAGGAGAACTGTGAGTCAAAGCCGCTAAGGCACTAAGCAACTCAGTGAGACCTGTCTCTAAATAAAACACAAAAAAGTCTGGGGATGTGGCTCAGTGGTCGAGTGTCCCTGAGTTCAATCCTTAGTACCAAAAAAGAAAAAAAAAAACAAACAGAAAATGCCTTGTGGGCTGGGGTTGTGACTGCGGTACGAGGCCCTGGGTTTGATCCTCAGCACCACATAAAGATAGAATAAATAAAATAAAGGTATTGTGTCCAATTACAACTAAAAAAATAAAATATCCAAAAAAAAATGCCTTGTGGTAAAACTCAGAAAATGCCAGCAAACCTCTGGTCTGTTCATCCAAATTCCACGTTTATTTAAACACCTTCCTTATCATTGTACATTGCTCCTTGCCTACCAGCTCCTCAACCTGCAGATCCTCCTCCAACACAGTCGAAGACCAGAGGCCTTGGGGTTTCCCGGCACCTGTTCTCATCTGTAGCGTCACAATTTAGATAGGTCCCCAAAGGCTCATGTGAGAGACAATGGAAGCTTTAGAGGTGAACTTATTGGGTCACAAAAGCCTGATCCGATCTGTGAATGGATGCCTTGATGTGGATCAACTGGTGGTAACTGTGGGCAGGTGGGGTGTGGCTGGAGGAGGTGGGTCACTGGGGCTGTGCCTTTGGGGTTTGTAGTTTGTCCCTGGTGCGTGGACTCTCTCTGCTTCCTGGTGGCCACGTCCTGAGCTGCCGTCCTCTGCCACACCCTTCCACCATGACATCCTGCCTCACCTGAGGCCGAGAGCAATGAAGTTGGCCATCTACGGACTGAACCTCTAGACTGTGAGCTCCAGATACAGATGTCCTCCCCTAACATGGTTCTTCCCAGGTCTTTTGATCACAGTCATTAAAATGTTTGCCAACAACGTGCAGTGAGGGTAACTGACCACAGGGTAGCTTCCTAACTGACCACAGGCTGTGTCCTAGATTCTCTGGAGCTGAGTCTCTTCATCTGTAAGATGGGTGCCTCACCCATGTGCACAATACCGTGTGCACCAACACAGAGGAGAGGCAATGACGATGACAACGGCCCCTCAGCTCTCCAGGCCAGTTATAGCCTCAGGCTGGTGTGTGCTCTGTAAACTAGGCAACACAGACCCATCCATTCTCAGTACCCCTCATTCTCTGCTTTCTGCTTTTCTCATTTTAAATTCCACGAGGCCAAGAACCTGCCTCAAAGCCTTTGGTCAGTGCCAGCCACACCTGTGAAAAGTAACTGCAGATCACAGAGACCTTGTCCCTCCTGCCAAGCCTGGCCCCCGGTGGCAGTGGGTGGCCTGGGGTTTGCTGGGGCTGGACCTAGAGGGGCCCACCAGCCACTGGGACTGAAGCTGAGAGCACCAAGTGTGCTGCCCCTGGACGGAAGCCAGCCTGAGCCGGCACGCGGCTCAGAGCCCCTGTGGCCACCCGGCCAAGGTAGTCTGATCTCTGCTCTTGTAAAGTCAATGGCGTGTATAAGACTGGTCACTAATGCCACACCAGGTGCCAACTGTGCTGCAAACGCACGGAGAGGGAGGGATCACAGTGCTCACAGAGACATGCAACTGAGCCAGCCTTGAAGGGTGAGCAGGGCCTGGGCAGGAGCCACGGCACAGCCATGCTGGCTGGCCAAGGAGGGTCTGAGCAGAGGCACAGCAGACCACTGGGCCCTGGCCCCGGCCCTGGCCGGCCCTGATACCTCGCTGGAGAGCTGACGCTGGTCTTGGAGGCAAAGCCAAGTCGTGGCTAGGGCTTGGGCCGTCCTGCTCACTGGGGGAGTGAGGACCACGCTGGCAGGCGGAGCGCGTCCTGCAGAGGCAAACAGGACCGGCTGGGTGTCCCTCAGCCTGGCTTCAGGCCCCCACTGCCGTACTCCCGCCACCCAGTGCCGAGGGAGAAGCTTCCGCCTCGTGTGGGACAGGCTGCAGCTGTGGTCAGCTGTTTCCTCCTCTCCCGCCTCCCCCACTGCTCTTTCGGGTCTTCCTTCATCCCTCCCGCAGGGATTGGGCCCTTGAGGTGAGGACACAGACGGCTCTTCCTAGCGGCAAGTTGCTTGGGAAGCCCCTGGGAACTTGGCACAGCAGGTGACCAGCTGGGGGCAACATTGCTCTGCAGGACCTCATGATCCCCGTTCTGGTCCACCCTCTGATGGCCCAGTGCCCTTGCTTAAGGCACCGTTTCCTAGGGTCAGGGCCCCCAGCCTACTCTAAGCTGCTTTCTTCCAGGTGTGCAGCCGACCAAGGAAAGGCCTCATCCTGGGAAGCCAAGCCTGGGCGGTGGGCACATCTCCATGCTCACAGAGATCCAGGCCTCCCACGCACCCCTGCCTGGTGGAGGTGGGTGCCCCCCGCTGGGGCAGGCCTCCCCGCAGAGGAGGGTGAGCGCCGCTCTCCTCCCAAGTGCCCCGCTCCTAGGGCACGCTCCCCTGAGCTTTCGGGCTCAGGGAGACTTAACAGGCACAGAACCATCTCTGCCTTCAGAAGTCCTGCGTGGAGTCATCTAGAAGTTTCTCTCTAGAGTAGGAGGGGATCTCCCGGCTCCACCCTAGGGCTTTAGTCAGAATTCCAAAGCGATGAAAAGCCCCTTTGGGCAGTGTGTCCCCCAGGGTCTCTGCAGGGAGGCTTAGTGTGCGCGTACACACACCCACACGCGCGCACACACACACACACACACACACCCCGCAGTCCAAGTGTCTCATGACGTTGCCACAGGAAGGCGAGGCAGTGGGACACTTGCTCACTGGCGAGACAGCTTAATAGACAAAAGAAAGCCCCTGGGGGTTCTGAGCAGGAAGCGCCCCACAGTTCCAGCCCAGAGCTCTTGGTCAGCTTCCCTGAGCCACAGGAAGGGGGCAGGCCAGCCAGGGCTCCTCAGGAAGCACAGGGCTCTGAGGAGGGCCGGCCACCTCAGGCGGCCCCAGGAAGGGGAAGAAGCACCGGGGGTAAGGAGGGGTCCATGGGGCCAGGGGCTGGCCTTCAGAGCAGGAAGACAGACATTGCCCTAAAGGCAGCTGGGCCTTTGGCTTGGGTTCTCCCAACAAGCCCCTGTGACGGAGGCCACCGGGAAAGGGACTGGTGAAGGCACAGCCTAGAACCAGAACCTCTGGGTTTCTCGCAAGTTTCTTTGGATGAACCAGGCCAGGCTGGGAATAGAATGTTCTAGTAATCTCAAAGACCCAAGATTGCATCTAACTAGAATCTCACTCTTAGGCAGAAAATAGATTAATATTTTTGCCATCTTCTGTGCCAGGGATTGCGCTGAGAGCTTCGCTGTCCCCGGCTCCTACCGTCCTCACCAGAACCCTGGTCTACAGACGGGCTGCCGAGGCTCAGGCGGATCAAGTCCGTCAGGAGCGGACACCGCAGGCCCCAATCCTGAGTAGGCCCTGTGACAAGCAGGAGCTCTGCTGCTGGGCCAGGTGGCTCCTGGCTTTTCCCTGTATAAGGTGGGATCATTCTCCCGACTTCTCGAATAGGGGAGGGAAGAGGCCAGTGAGGTTGGGCAGCTTCCCCAGTCGCCCGACTCCCAGCAGCAGACCAGAGCTCCTCACCTTCAGTCCAGAGCCGTGGGCCTGCCTTCCGCCACGCTGGGGACAAGGCTGCAGGGCCCAGGAGCTCGGAGGCGGGATCCTCCCCCGGCTCCCCTGGGGTCACTTGTGTGAGCCAGACTGGGCTGGGCAGCCGGGAGCTGTGTCCCCCAGGATGACCCACTCCTCAGTGCCAGGTGCGGAACGAGGAAGGACCCTGGAGGCCTGGAGACCTGATGGACCACTCGCTGCTTTTCCCAGGCCACAGGGCACTCAGGGGTAAGGAGGGGACCTTTGGGGCCCTGAAGGTCGTGGCCCCAGCCTGTGAAGGGGCCAGCAATTCTGGGAGATGTGGCTGATGGGTGTGCAGACCCCCACACTGCCCGGCCCTGGTCAGCTGCAGGCAGAGCCCGGGTTTGGGGATGAAGAGATGGACGTGGGACAGGACTGCACCCAGTGGTGGAGGCCCCACTCTCCTGAGGCACTGACTGGGTCTGTGAACTGCCTTGTGGAGGGCAGAGGTCAGCAGCCTACAGTTAAATTCAGCCTCCGCCCAACTGTTCATTATAGTCCACAGCAAATGCAGATAACACGAAAAGGGACCGTCAGCAGAGTTCAGATTCTCTGCCCACTGCTTCGGGTCCAAGGCTGCGGACCCCTCGGCACTGCCTGGGGTCCCTCGGCGATCCCGGGCACAAGGCGGCTGCACTTGCTGCGCAATCCCTGATGGCTGCCGGCGTTTGGTGGAGTCAGCTGCAGGGGGCAGAGGGCGAGCTGTCCATGGGGGAAGAGGCGCCTGCAGTCCACACGCCCTCAAGGGAACTCTTCTCAGTGTGTGGAACCAGGTTCCACGGCACACACTGCAGTGGGCCTACTGTGTGCAGGGTCAGGTCCACAGTACAGAGAGGGGAGCAGCCCTGTCGTACCCAGTCATTCAGGTTGCACACTGGCGACACTGGGGGCCCCTCTGTCCCTCCTGCTGTAGGTTTGGGGGTCCAGTAAACCCACTGCAGGCTTCCTCTGCCAGTTCATCTTAGGAGGGAGAAACCCAGCTGACTCGGGAAGGCAGGGTCCCCGCGCCGTCTCCCCAGGGCCACCTGGCGCAGAGCCGCCTGCCCAGACCCCCAGCGACCCAGCACCTGGCTCTGGGGTGCACTGTCTCCGGGACCTCAGCTGCAGTGCAGCCCCTCCCCGGGGAGAAGCCCCCTGCACAGTAACACACAAGCGCCAAGCTTTGCCAACATCTTATTTATTATTTGGTTCTTTGTTCGCTTTCCATGGCAAGTGAAAAAATAATTTAAACCAGTCCTATGTACAGAGGCTTGGTCAGCTTCCCCAGACCTTCCAGGGAGACCCAGCCCCGTAGACAGCAAAGAAGGGTCACCTTAGCATCTGTACAAAGCTCCATCTATCAAAGGCTCACGCGGAGAAAGGTTTCTTTATTACGAGCATCATCTTGGGGGGCAGGGAGGGGTGGGGGAGGGAAGAGCGCAGGCGGGCGCCACACACCTGCCGGGGATCCTGGGGGGCCACGGCTGTGGAGCTCAGGTGATCTGCAGCGGGGTCTCCAACATCTCCATGAGGAAGGTGTCAATGGGGGTGTCCCCGATGAGCTTGAAGAAGAAGAGGTGCTCCAGGCACTTCAAGCCAATGGAGCGCAGCGCCGGCAGGCGAAGCAGCAGCTTGGCGAACCTGCAGGGAAGCCGGAGGGCACTGGTGACCAGGAGGGGCCCGCGAGGCAGCTGCTGGCCTTCTCGCCAGGCTGCAGTGAAAGTCTGGGAGGGAACGTGGGGGCGATGGAGCCTGTAGCCCCAGGGAGCTTCAGAAAGCAGGCAGAGGGCTGGCCAGGGCAGAAGCAGGACCCAGGGGCCTCCTGGGGTCTCCAATTCTGCACATGTGCAGGAATTGCCATTGTCACGTGGTGGAGGGGGCCACACGGCCACCCCTGTCCAGCTCCCGGGGCCCCTGCAGGGAGGAGCTGGAGCCTGAGGTGCCAGGAGCACCAGGTTCACAGCCAGATGAGCATACGGACCCACTGTGTGCCGGGGACCCACTGTGTGCCGGACACACCTCAGGCTCTGGGCCAGAGGATGAGCAAGGGCCCAGAGAGCCGTGCTCTCCCCGGGGAGGGCGCCTGTCATGTGCAGTCACTGGCTGTGTGACCTTGGTGTGCCCAGTCAGTGTCAATTGTCACCCAGTCGTTCCTGATCTCTGTGACCAGCTTTAAGCTGGGGAGTCGGGGAGAGTGGAAGCAGAGACCACACAGGCGTGCACACGTGCCTCCCCACAAGTCTTCCTGCTTGGACGTGCAGGGGGTGTGTTCACCGTGCTCTACACACCCCCCACATGCTTGCCCACCCACACACCACATCCTGGCTTCACGCCCTCACACGCACTGTCCTTTGATTGAGGCCATTTGCCAGATCAGTGTGTCACGTCTGTGCATCTGTTCAGGCCTGAGTGGCCCTTTGCCCTTCTCAAAGTCCCTTCCTGCCAGTGAAACTCCTTGTGATGTGACCGCGGACACTAGGAATTCAGTTGCTCTACTCACGACTGTTGATCAGTAGCACAAAGACCAACTCACATTCTTCACTGTGGCCCTCACTCAGAGATTTCGGACTTGGGTTGGAGCTTTCCAGGGTGTTGCATTATTTCATCAAGTCTCAGACTGGAACATCAATGCTCCTTGAGAATGTGCACATTTCTGTGCTAGTGTCAGGTGACATGTTAAGAACAGGTAGCAATATGGGAGAGCAAAGTGGAGCCATCTTTCCAACTGAACCAGCCTAAGGCGAATGCTGATGTCAATGCAGAGCTTCAGAAGCTTCCATGCTAAAGCACAAGAGGGCGTCTACAGAAGGACCCTGCAGGCTGGGCTGGGGCTCAGGGGCGGAGCCCTTGCCTAGCATGTGGGAGGCACTGGGTTGGATCCTCAGCACCACACAAAAATAAAATAAAGGTGCTGTGTCCGTCTATTATAAAAATACTTTTGAAAATTAAAATTCTAAAAAAGAAAAAGAAGGACCATGTAGCTGAGCGGTGGTTGGAGGAAGAGGCTGATCTCTGAGCTCACTAGAGCTGGCAGAGCCCAGCAGGGAAGTGGCTTGTCTGTCATGTGCAAGTCAGACTGGAAGATCAACTCTGAAAGTGGACTTTCCACTCCAAAATGTCGACGCCTGACAGTATGGGACAGCCATGGCTGTTCTCTCTGCTGTCTGCCACAGGCTGACCCTGATTCTTCCCTTGTATGTTACAGCAAGAGGAAGCTGCCGCCTGCAAAGGTGCCCATGGTGTGCGCAAGAGAACCTGTGTGAGTTGTGTGCCTCCTGAGTTTGGGCTTCTGCGATCTGTCACTCAAAGAACCCAGCCCATGTGGTGCACTTCTCCACAGTGTCCACATGGTGGCAGCACTCTGCCGCTGACCCCCAGATTCCCCGGTACCAGTCCCAGCAAGCCGACCAGCCTCTGAGCCCCGGGGTGAACCCTTGACGGAGTGAGCGCCCTCTTCCAGGCTGTGCTGGACAAACCCAGGACCCCGGGACACACCCAGGCTGAGAGCTGGCATCCCTCCCCAGGGTGCAGAGGGAGCCAGGCCCCTGGCAGCCTCTTCCTGGAAGAGTCACCTTCCAAAGTCCTAAAAGTGGCATTCAATAGGAACAACCTCAATGTCATCTCTGGGGCAATGACAAAATCATAAAAATACATCGACATTGAAAAATATTCCAAAACCATTGGAAATTATGATTTTATACTTTTCAGTAATCTGATAAAATTTCTAAAATTGCTGAAGGAAGAAAATAATACGCCAAACTAGAATCTCATATCTGCAAATACGTATTTTTACACGTATCTATGCAAATTCACAAGGACACTGGAACAAAATGTACCAACGTATTTACAGTCAAATTGTATTACCTGCTTTAAAATTTCCTTTTTTCCTACCAAAGCAAATATCTCTTTTATAATTAGGAAAAAAGAACTGGGTGTCTTTTTTAAGATTAAAGTGGGACCTAGAGCTGACTAGGTAGGAAAGGAACACCTTGTGCCCCAGAAACACCCTGTGTCGCTTTAGGGTGGGAAGAGTGGGCAGGCCTCAGGCACCGCGGCTCACCGTGGCCTCCTCCCCGTCTCCTGCTGCAGGGGGAGGGAGAAGCTAGCGGGCCCAGGAATCCGTCTCTCCTTCCTCCCCCTGCAGCCCCGGCCCCTGTGTGGCTGGCAGGGCCAGGCACAGCGCCAGCCAGGGAAGCGTGTGGTGGGCACTCCTCAAACCCACGTCTCACCAGACAGCCCCGCACTGCTCCCCACCTCTCCTCCCTCCAATCACCTGGCTCCAACCAGAGTGGCTATGGGACGTGGCCGCAGGACAGACGGCAGGTCCCTGAGAGACAGCCAGCAAGAGAACCGCCCACAGACCAACTAGGAGTGAGGACCGCCGACTGTCCCCCACGGAGGGAGGACTGAGGATAACCAGCCAAACCCAAGTCAGACTTCACCCAGGAGTAGAACCACGGTGAGGCTGGGGGCGTGGAAATCATCCTGAGATGGCAGTCTTGAAGCCGGTCTGTCGCTCCAGCTTTCTGTGAGACTGGAGGACATTTTCGCCTTTCAGAGTTTGCTGTACTTGGGAAGGCGTTGACATTTCTTTTAATGACTCAGGAATAGCTGTACTGCCAGGTGGCTCAGCAGGGCCACACAGAAGGAACCCCAGGGACCAGTGACCATGTCCCCTGACCCCAAAGCCTTTGCTTGCTGCTGCCTGGTATTTCCAAGGGGGCAGGCCCTGAGAGCCATGCAGTCACCTCAGCGCAGGCTGAAATCAGACCACAGCTCGCCGCCACCGGGGACTCGCCACCACCAGGGACTCACCTTCCCGAGCCTCTACCGCTCCTCCCACAGTGACCCAGGCATCCCCGGCTGGCCCAGCCCTTCCAGGCCTGTACCGCAGCCCCCCCTGCAGCAGCTACTTTCCAAGACCCCATGCCTGCCTGAAACAGGACACTACCAAGCCCTGTGTATGCAGACACCTCTGCCAAAGTTGATTTATAAATCAGGCGCCGCGAGAGGTCAACACCAACAACAGGAAACACAACTGTCTCATCGTATGCAATGAAGACTGTTTAAAACTTACAAGCTGCTTATCTCTGGAATGTCCCCTTTAATATCTTTGGACTGCGACTGGTCACTGGTACTGAGACAGCTGGGTAGGGCTGCAGCGGAGGCCTACTGTGCTCTGTGGACCTCTGCCTGGGCACCAGACAGGGGATGGACAGCAGGAAGACGGCCCTCCGCCTCGCAGAGCCCAGGCTGGGGCCTGTGTGTAGACTCAGCAATGCTGGCAACAGGGGCCCTGGCTCTGCACAGAGGCACACGCTGCCCGGAGAGGGTCCAGCTCTGGCTGCCAGCACGGCTGTGCAGCGCCTCACCTGCCTGGCTGTTCCGGATACTTCTGCTTGGTGTAGGCCTCCAGGGTGGCATAGACCTTCTCCCGCAGGGTCTCTACCTCCGAGGGGTTGGACAGACCTTTGGCATCTGCAAAAGACAGTGGTGTCCCCATCACGCTGGTCACTCCCTTAGGTGGAGGGGACACCACAGGCTCCATCATGGAGCCAACTCACAGCGCTGGGGTCCCCACTGTGTGTTCGTGCCTACTGTCAACACGAGTGCGTCCACCACTGACTCCAGGAGGGCAGCCTTGCCTTTCTGGGCCATTCTACTCACACACAGGTTGAGAGCCTCCTAGGGGCCAGCCTGGAGCCGGTGGTGAGATGGGCACATTCCAAACTGGCCATGTCCTGCCCCGGGGACATATCCTATGGCAGGTGGCTGCGTGAACCGCTCTGTGGCCTGCAGCTCTGGTGAAGCTGCTCCCTGCCTCCCTGGACACCCTCCCTGAGCCTCCCGCACAGCACCCTGGGGTCCGTCCACTGCCGACGCCCTTCCTGCTCCTCTAGCAGCCAGCTGGGCCCCACCCGCCGGCCGTCTTTCCTGTCCCCAGCAGACGCTGCACTCTCAGCCTCATGCCAGGCCCTGGCTTCCCCCTGTAGTGCCTCTCGGTCCACTACCACCTCCCCTTCGAACGTTCAAAGACAAAACCCCGACCCTCCCCCCAGAACCAGAGTGGCCTTCCCTGGAGTTTCCCCAAGTCAGGAAACGGGCACTCCCTTTCCCAGAGGTTCAGGGGGAACCAAAGACCCGGAGCTATGTAATATGACCCCTCTCTTGGCGTCCCAGACCCCATCCATCTGCAGACTCAGGGTGCCACCTGGAGATACACCCAGCATGGCACCACCTCCACCACTTCCCCACTGCCTTCCTCGTCCTCGCCCAGACATGCCTGCTCCTGCCACTCACCACCTTCAGGGAGGCCAGCAACAGAGGACTCCCACCCTCTGGACTCCTGGTCCTGCCTGCTCTCGCTCAGCTGAGCTGCAGAACCAGAACCCACTGGGCACGGAGCCCGCCCTGGAGGAGAGCCGTGCTCCTCGCGGTCACCTGGGTTGAACAGCACAATGGCTCGCAGGCACCCCAGCTCCGACTTGTCCATCTGCATGTCCTTCATCTTGGAAACCAGCTCAGTCAGAACTCTGCGCACAGAAAAGGGCAGGTGGCGAGGAATCCGTGAGTGCCAGGCCCAGGCCCAGCAGCAGGAAGCCGGACCCCGGGGTGGTCCACCTCGTTCTCCAGGCAGTGCTCTGGGATGGGGTACAGAGGTGGGTCTGGTGCACAGCCAACTCTCAGGGGCTCAGAGACGGCCAGCAACGCTCAGCAAGGAGCCGCGTGAGCCACGCAACGGGTGCGGAGCCAGGGACAGGCAGGTCTGTGAGAGGCGCAGTGGGCAGAGCAAGGCCAGCGGAGGCCACGTGCAAGGATGAGAGCCCCCAGGGAGCCTGCCCCGGCACCCCAGGGACACTGGCTTTCCTAGGGAACATGTGGGAAAGGACGGGACCTGGAGGCGTCCCAGGTGCACGCACAGGGCCCCTACAGGCTGCTGCTGAGGGGGTGGGACGGGTCCGGGCTCTGGCACTGACAGGGACTCTCACGCGGCCGCTGTCCTTGAGCTCCTCTAAGGGACCAAGTCCCCGTCAGGGGCTGCTGCCTGCCGGCGGTGGTCTGCTCTTGCCATAGGCCTTCCCAGAGAACGCCCGGCTCGCTGGCCTCCTGCGGGCAGCCGTGGGCCCTTTCCCCTCCCGGCTGCCAGGATAAGTCGGTCAGCCCTCCCACCCCGCCAACCAGTGACACCAGGGACCAGACCTCTCCCCCGAGCCCAGCGCCGCGCCACTCTGCGTGACTCCGCCTCTCTCAAGGCCCCTCACCCAGGGCTGCGTGTCCAGGTGCCCATGGCCCCACACAGTCACTGCACCTCTGACGGCTACGCCAGACCCCAGCCCTACCCGCAGAAACACCAGGCATGTGGGGCACGCGGGTGTGCACACGCGAACGAACACACAGAATCCAGGGAAGGGAGACACCTGTCAAAGATGGAGCCGACACCAGCACTGTGGGCGCTGCTCCGGTGGACGTGGAGACCTGTGGCCAGCAGGATGCCGTCCTGCACGGAGACCGAGCGGTGGGAGAAGGAGGCGATCAGCAGCTCGTTCCACCCTGCAGGAGAGGAGGCCTTGAGGGGAGGCCCACACAGCCCCCTGCAGGAGAGGAGGCCTTGAGGGGAGGCCCACACAGCCCCTGCAGGAGAGGAGGCCTTGAGGGGAGGCCCACACAGCCCCCTGCAGGAGAGGAGGCCTTGAGGGGAGGCCCACACAGCCCCCTGCAGGAGAGGAGGCCTTGAGGGGAGGCCCACACAGCCCCCTGCAGGAGAGGAGGCCTTGAGGGGAGGCCCACACAGCCCCCTGCAGGAGAGGAGGCCTTGAGGGGAGGCCCACACAGCCCCCTGCAGGAGAGGAGGCCTTGAGGAGAGGCCCACACAGCCCCCTGCAGGAGAGGAGGCCTTGAGGGGAGGCCCACACAGCCCCCTGCAGGAGAGGAGGCCTTGAGGGGAGGCCCACACAGCCCCCTGCAGGAGAGGAGGCCTTGAGGGGAGGCCCACACAGCCCCCTGCAGGAGAGGAGGCCTTGAGGAGAGGCCCACACAGCCCCCTGCAGGAGAGGAGGCCTTGAGGGGAGGCCCACACAGCCCCCTGCAGGAGAGGAGGCCTTGAGAGGAGGCCCACACAGCCCCCTGCAGGAGAGGAGGCCTTGAGGGGAGGCCCACACAGCCCTCTGTGCTGGTGACTCCCAGTGCCTGTGTCACTACCCGGCATCCAGAAGCACAACTGGACTTGGAGGGAGGCTGAGATGACCCCGCTGCTAGCCAGAGAGGACAGGGCAGGCCCAGGGCCACCGACTCCAGGGCTCTGCACCCCACGGTCTCTCCATGCAGCCTGCAGCTTGAGGACAAGGACCCATTTGGATGAACCTTTACCAGACACTGTGAGCAGCCCGGTGGGGACAGTGGAGGCACCTGAGCCTGTGCCCGGGCCCTGACAGCCCAGCTGGGCTCCTTCGGCATTGTCTAGCCACACAGGCACAGCGTGAGGCTCCCAGCAACGCTCGGAGATGGTGATCTAACAGGTGGGAGGGCCAGTTCCCAACACCCAGCCCATCTTCACCAAATGTCCCTGATGGCTCTGTGACAAAGGGGAGGCATGGCCGTGGCCAATGGACGCACAGTGTCCCAGAAATGACAAGGGAGAACACCGCTCATGGCGTCTGTGAGCGAGACTTGAAATCCATCTAGGATAAACCTGAGCAGAGACCTTGGCCCCTTGTCTCCTCTGTGACGTGGGGACCTCTCCACTCAGCAGTTCATGACAACTGTGGGCGCTGCTTCAGATGATCCTCAATAAAAAGAATGTAAGAGTCTTTAAATTCAAAGGCAAATTGTGAGCCACAGCGTCCCGTGGGCCAGAGTCCCCCTCGGCCACCGCGCGGCAGGGTCCCACTGGGGAAGGAGGGGGCTCTGAGAAGACCGTCCAAGTTGAAGACCCTACAGATCCTGTGAGAAGAAGAGACCTGGAGACGGCAGCCTCAGGGTGGACCCACCACATGGCTGGGATGGGTGACAGTGTCATCAAGCCACGGTGGGCCACCAGGGTCCGAGGCACATTTCAGAATGGAGGCTCAGTGACGGCCCCCCAGCACAGGAGCCCTGGTGAGCTTTACCTGCCCGGAGCAGAATGACCTGGTCCTCCAAGGTGAGGTCCGAGAAGTGGGGCACGCGCTTGGCCCACTCGACCAGCGTGAAGAGCTGCTTGTCGGCTGCGTGGCAGATGTTGGTGACGGGGTCGTTGGTCTAAGAAAGGACAAAGTCGTGAGGGCAGGGCCTGGGGCTCTGCGATGCCTCCTCCTCCCGCCCCGCCCCAGAACGGGCACTGGCGGGAGGCCGGCCGTACCGAGCTCTCCATGCTCAGGTCCCCGTAGGACTCCGTCTTGGGCTCCACCGCGAGCTCGGCCTCCAGGATCCTCTCCACCGGCATGTCCTCGTGGCCGCCACCCGCACAGTCGGCCTCACCCTCGGCCCTCTCCCGGCTCCGTTGCCGCTCTTCCTGCACAGCTGGTGCACAGCAGGACACGTGGAGTCACCGCGCCACCCAGGACAGCAAGGAGCCGGGGACCATGCAGGTCTCAGCTTCCTTGTGTGAAATAGGGGTGGTCCTGGCCCTGAGGCAGCAGTCACATGTTGACAGACACGCGGGTGCGGCACAGAGCTGGGGGCCTCCGTCCACAGCCTTCCCACTGCACCAAGTTTGCCTTCTGAGCGTGGGCCAGCTGCGATGCCCCTCTCTTCTAAGGAGCCCGGCCCCTCACTCACTGCAGCCTCCCATATTCTGCTCGACCCCCACCCTGGTGAGCTGCCAGCGTGCCCCAGTTAGGAGGTGACCACACCCCTCTGGGCTCCCCTGACGGATCCCATCATCATCCTGTATTCACTTCCCACCAGGTCTGCACCTCGAGCAGCCCGAACACAGCGTCACCTGACCCGACTCGTCAGGGAAGATGTTCAGGAGCCACTTTAGTAGGGAAGGGTGGAGGGATGTCACCGAGATGACATTCAGAGTCAGGGCTGATTCTGGGGGGCACACAGACAAGGGCGCAGCTGGAGCCATCTCGGGGGTCTTATCAAGGTTCACTCCTACTCTGGTCTGTATGTTAGGAGGCAAGGCAGACCCAGGACCGCCCTCTCCAGCAGGAGAGTGGCCACTGTCGGCTGAGTGTCCATCCCCTGGAAGGCTGTGCCCTCCATCTTGTTCAACATCTTGTTTACATCCCAGAGTGGGCACAGCCCCTGTGTAAGCAGGCCACTGACCTTGCACTCTGTGACTGGCCCACTGACCTTGCACTCTGTGACTGCACTGGCCCACTGACCTTGCACTCCGTGACTGGCCCACTGACCTTGCACTCGTGACTGGCCCACTGACCTTGCACTCTGTGACTGCACTGGCCCACTGACCTTGCACTCTGTGACTGGCCCACTGACCTTGCACTCTGTGACTGCACTGGCCCACTGACCTTGTACTCCGTGACTGGCCCACTGACCTTGCACTCCATGACTGGCCCACTGACCTTGCACTCCGTGACTGGCCCACTGACCTTGCACTCTGTAAATGGCCCACTGACCTTGCACTCTGTGACTGGCCCACTGACCTTGCACTCTGTGACTGGCCCACTGACCTTGCACTCTGTGACTGGCCCACTGACCTTGCACTCTGTGACTGACCCACTGACCTTGCACTCTGTGAGTGGCCGCTGACCTTGCACTCTGTGACTGCATTGGCCCTTGGCCTCTATTCTCCTCTGTCCTCCCCACACAGTCCACTTCAACTGTGGCAAGCAGGCTGGACAGGCACAGGGGCTGACTTTGACCTTGTAGTGCCAGGGACATGGCTGGTCTCAAGGTCAGCCAGATGGGGCATGCCTGGAAGGCACCACTGGGCTCCAAAGCCCAGCAGACTCACCCAGAGGCCTAGGGACATGGGGATATGTGATGGGGGCAGGGGAGGGGTGGGAGGGAGGGGAGGCCGTGAGGAGAGGCAGAGAGCAGGGGCAGGGGCCTGTGCCTGGGAGGAGAGGGACCTTCCACAGGCAGGTCCACCCCTCCCCGCTAGGGGCCTTGGTTTCCCTATCTGCAAAGCGGTGGCCACTGCAGTGATCTGGGAGGACCCGTGAGGCACTGCGGCAGCTCAACAGAGCAGCCACGTCCTCTGCCCTGGCCTCTCCAGGCCCTTGGGCTCGCCTCTGGTCCTCTCCAGCCCCTGGCCTCGCGGGCCTCTTCCTCCCTGTCCTCCTTTCTCATCCTTGGTTTCCCTCCTCGGCCCTCATCCAGGGACCCTGTGGACATCTCAGTCTGTGTTCTCCTCGTAGGTGGATCTAAGGCCGAGGCTGAGTCCATCCCGTGTTAACTGTTCTCAGGGCCTCCGTCCTCTTGACTTGGAGACACGGGAAGCAAGCTAAGGGAGGCTCCTCTGGGACCTCAATCCATCGACACTTGCAACACTCAAGAAAAATCACCTTCAAGCTTCACAGAAAGTAACCCGGCTTCAGGGAATTCGACTCTGATTTTGCCATTAACTGAGCCACTGCTTGCGACTCCTTCTCCGCTCGCAGTGTGAACCTCCCCGTCCTGAAGGAGGGGTTGCACCCCCGCTGCCAGCCACCGCCGTGCAGCAGTCAGAGCTGCTGCTCTGGACGGCAGGACACACCAGGACGACGGTGGGCCATCTGGGATGGGCAGGCTCCCGCCCTGGCCCGGGTCCCCCCACTCTCCAGCAGGTGGTTTTTGTGAATTCACAGTGAAAGACAGAGCATGAGGCTCCGCTGTGTGTCAGCGCTCTGCTCAGCAGTTTATGCAGACTGCCTTCCATTCACTCCTCAACACCCCTGTGGGGTCTGGAACCAGAGAAGCTGGGTCCCTGAGCCCAAGAGCCAGCCGGGGCTGGTAGGCGCAGCAGGTCACGCAGGCTGGCTGTGCCCAAACCCTTCCTGAACCTGCTCTGCTCCAAGGCCTGGGCTAGTCGTGTTCATGACTGCCGGGGCCCCCAGCCTGCCACAGCTGCCTACGAAGGGCTGACGAGATACCCCTCCTCTACCCTGAAACGACCTGTATGGCCAGAGTCTTGGAAATAGTTTCTCCAGAACTCCCAAGGGGGGCTGGGGGTCCCAGGGTCCCAGTCCTCTACCAGCTCTGCCCTTTGCTTGCTGTGTCAGCTTGGCAAGATCCCTAACTTCTCTGAACCTCTGTTTCTTCTTTCAGGAGATGGCCGTGCCAGGTCCACTTCGACCCTCGTGGTGGGGAAGCTATGAGGACACCAGCTGTACCCTGTGGGAGGAGGACCACTCCAACAGCTGCCATTGCACGTCACATGCCCAATTCCTGGCACGGCTCTAACGCCAGTCAAAGGCAAGGGGACCTGGCCACGTGCAGCCAGACAGGCAAGGCAGTCACGTGTGTTGGGCAGCAGTGAGTGCCGCAGAGAGAGACAAGCGCATCTCGCTGACGCAGGTTTAGAGGGCACAGCCAGGCGAGGCTCTGCACAGAGGGCAGTAGCTAAGAAAAGACGCAGGAAAGATAAGGCCAGCCACACCGATGCCGGGAGGAAGCACCCAGGCAGGGAGAGCAACCCGGGCAAAGGGCCTGGGGCGGAAGCAGCCCGGCTAATGCGAGGGCCTGAAAGAGGCCAGCAAGGCTGAGACAGAGGGGCACAGACACACACAGCCTGGACACCTCACAAGGAGGACGTGGTGAAGGAGGAGGAGGTCAGGGTGGTCTGACAACTGAGGGTGGCCTCTCCTGAGGCGGGTGTGTGCTGAACAGCCAGGCAGCGGGACGCCAGGACCTCAGCTTCGGGGCTGCCACACCCCAGGCTCCCCTGAGCCCGAGGGCTAGGCCAACTGAGCTCCTCACCTCCTGCCAGGACAGGCCGCGTGAGCTGAGCACAGGGGAGTGGGGACCGGCACCACTCGTCTCCTGCCACGGACCTGGGAAACCTTCACCTCTCCGGGCCTGTGTGCTCCACTGTGAAATGCTCCCGGGGACAGGTGACCCTGAAAGCCACCCTCTCCACACGTCCCCTTCTGGGTGGCATTCCCTCTTCTCAGAGGCTCAAGGACCTCGCCCTTCCTCCATGCTTCCTGCCAGACTGCCCTGCTCCTCACGGAAGGAGCGGGAGGAGCTGCTGGGCTGATCCCTCTGGTCACTTGCTGCCAGATGGAGGACCCCTCAGTCCAGACCCCACGACACGCCAGCACCAGGGCCCAGGACCAGCACAGGACACGGCTGCCCGTCCTCAGGCATTAGCTTCCCTTCCGTTCACCCGGCTGCTCAGTGGACTCTTCAATCCCATAAAGGAGCAATAATCCCACCTCCATTCCTTTTCTCTTGCACCAGAGCAGCCCACCTACATTAGAGATGTGACCCTCCAATGCACCATGAAGCTCCCCGTGAGGCCACGACTGTCACACCTGTAACGCCAGCAGTCCAAAGACACAGATTCTCCAATGCCCAAGGGTCTGTAGCAGACCAAGGACACGAGTATGGGCAGCTTCCCCAGAGAACCAGGGCCGGAGGGGAGAAGGTACCTCCACCAAGAGGCTCAGTGTGACCCTCCATGGGGAGAGCAAAGACAGGACCGGACACCTCAGCTCTGAGGACCTCCATCAGAGACCAGAGAACAGGACACCTCAGCTCTGAGGACCTCCATCAGAGACCAGAGACCAGGACACCTCAGCTCTGAGGACCTCCATCAGAGACCAGAGACCAGACACCTCAGCTCTGAGGACCTCCATCAGAGACCAGAGACCAGGACACCGCAGCTCTGAGGACCTCCATCAGAGACCAGAGCACAGGACCAGGACACCTCAGCTCTGAGGACCTCCATCAGAGACCAGAGACCAGGACACCTCAGCTCTGAGGACCTCCATCAGAGACCAGAGACCAGGACACCTCAGCTCTGAGGACCTCCATCAGAGACCAGAGACCAGACACCTCAGCTCTGAGGACCTCCATCAGAGACCAGAGACCAGGACACCTCAGCTCTGAGGACCTCCATCAGAGACCAGAGCACAGGACACCTCAGCTCTGAGGACCTCCATCAGAGACCAGAGCAAGGACCAGGACACCTCAGCTCTGAGGACCTCCATCAGAGACCAGAGACCAGTACACCTCAGCTCTGAGGGCCTCCATCAGAGACCAGAGACCAGGACACCTCAGCTCTGAGGACCTCCATCAGAGACCAGAGCAAGGACCAGGACACCTCAGCTCTGAGGACCTCCATCAGAGACCAGAGCACAGGACCAGGACACCTCAGCTCTGAGGACCTCCATCAGAGACCAGAGCACAGGACCAGGACACCTCAGCTCTGAGGACCTCCATCAAAGACCAGAGCACAGGACACCTCAGCTCTGAGGATCTCCATCAGAGACCAGAGACCGGGACACCTCAGCTCTGAGGACCTCCATCAGAGACCAGAGCACAGGACACCTCAGCTCTGAGGACCTCCATCAGACACCAGAGACCAGGACACCTCAGCTCTGAGGACCTCCATCAGAGACCAGAGCAAGGACCAGGACACCTCAGCTCTGAGGACCTCCATCAGAGACCAGAGCACAGGACCAGGACACCTCAGCTCTGAGGACCTCCATCAGAGACCAGAGACCAGGACACCTCAGCTCTGAGGACCTCCATCAGACACCAGAGACCAGGACACCTCAGCTCTGAGGATCTCCATCAGAGACCAGAGCACAGGACCAGGACACCTCAGCTCTGAGGACCTCCATCAGAGACCAGAGCACAGGACCAGGACACCTCAGCTCTGAGGACCTCCATCAGAGACCAGAGCACAGGACACCTCAGCTCTGAGGATCTCCATCAGAGACCAGAGACCGGGACACCTCAGCTCTGAGGACCTCCATCAGAGACCAGAGCACAGGACACCTCAGCTCTGAGGACCTCCATCAGACACCAGAGACCAGGACACCTCAGCTCTGAGGACCTCCATCAGAGACCAGAGCAAGGACCAGGACACCTCAGCTCTGAGGACCTCCATCAGAGACCAGAGCACAGGACCAGGACACCTCAGCTCTGAGGACCTCCATCAGAGACCAGAGACCAGGACACCTCAGCTCTGAGGATCTCCATCAGAGACCAGAGACCGGGACACCTCAGCTCTAAGGACCTCCATCAGAGACCAGAGACCAGAACACCTCAGCTCTGAGGACCTCCATCAGAGACCAGAGCAAGGACCAGGACACCTCAGCTCTGAGGACCTCCATCAGAGACCAGAGACCAGGACACCTCAGCTCTGAGGACCTCCATCAGAGACCAGAGACCAGAACACCTCAGCTCTGAGGACCTCCATCAGAGACCAGAGACCAGGACACCTCAGCTCTGAGGACCTCCATCAGAGACCAGGACCAGGACACCTCAGCTCTGAGGACCTCCATCAGAGACCACAGACCAGGACACCTCAGCTCTGAGGACCTCCATCAGAGACCAGAGACCAGGACACCTCAGCTCTGAGGACCTCCATCAGAGACCAGGACCAAGACACCTCAGCTCTAAGGACCTCCATCAGAGACCAGAGACCAGGACACCTCAGCTCTGAGGACCTCCATCAGAGAACAGAGACCAGGACACCTCAGCTCTGAGGATCTCCATCAGAGACCAGAGCAAGGACCAGGATACCTCAGCTCTGAGGACCTCCATCAGAGACCAGACACCAGGACACCTCAGCTCTGAGGACCTCCATCAGGAACCAGAGACCAGGACACCTCAGCTCTGAGGACCTCCATCAGGAACCAGAGACCAGGACACCTCAGCTCTGAGGACCTCCATCAGAGACCAGAGCACAGGACACCTCAGCTCTGAGGACCTCCATCAGAGACCAGAGCACAGGACCAGGACACCTCAGCTCTGAGGACCTCCATCAGAGACCAGAGCACAGGACACCTCAGCTCTGAGGACCTCCATCAGAGACCAGAGACCAGGACACCTCAGCTCTGAGGACCTCCATCAGAGACCAGAGCAAGGACCAGGACACCTCAGCTCTGAGGACCTCCATCAGAGACCAGAGCACAGGACCAGGACACCTCAGCTCTGAGGACCTCCATCAGAGACCAGAGACCAGGACACCTCAGCTCTGAGGACCTCCATCAGAGACCAGAGACCAGGACACCTCAGCTCTGAGGACCTCCATCAGAGACCAGAGACCAGGACACCTCAGCTCTGAGGACCTCCATCAGAGACCAGAGACCAGGACACCTCAGCTCTGAGGACCTCCATCAGAGACCACAGCACAGGACCAGGACTCCTCAGCTCTGAGGACCTCCATCAGAGGCCAGAGCAAGGACCAGGACACCTCAGCTCTGAGGACCTCCATCAGAGACCAGAGACCAGGACACCACAGCTCTGAGGACCTCCATCAGAGACCAGAGCACAGGACACCTCAGCTCTGAGGACCTCCATCAGAGACCAGAGCACAGGACCAGGACACCTCAGCTCTGAGGACCTCCATCAGAGACCAGAGCACAGGACCAGGACACCTCAGCCTTGAGGACCTCCATCAGAGACCAGAGCAAGGACCAGGACACCTCAGCTCTGAGGACCTCCATCAGAGACCAGAGACCAGGACCAGACACCTCACCCTGAGACCTGCTGGCTAGGTACAGGAAGGCAGAGGGAGAGGGTCGCTGTGGGCTCACTCTCTGGGCCCCAGGGAGGATGGTGAGCGTGGTCGAGGACGGTGCCCCTGGCCTCTTGCTCAAGGAGCACATTTTCTTGAGAAACCACAGCACCCACGGGCACCTGACTTCCACGTCTCCTCCCACCAGTCCCCACTCTGTCCCCGTGTCCCCGACACACACTGCCCGCCCACCGAGGGGCGCTCACCCTCCCGCTTCATGCCCATGACCAGGCACTTCTGGTAGCGGCAGTACTGGCAGCGGTTGCGCTGGCGCTTGTCGATGAGGCAGTCCTTGTTGTCCCGGCAGGTGTAGACCAGGTCCTTCCTGATGGTCCTCTTGAAGAAGCCCTTGCAGCCCTCACAGCTGTACACCCCGTAGTGCTTTCCTGCCACCAGAAATGGACAAGTCAGGTCTCTCTCTGTGCACTCCGAGATGCCCGCGGCTCTCCCGTCCCGTGCCCTGGGCACCCACACAACAGCAGCCCAGGAGCAGCTGGGTGTCCGGAACAGAGCTGAGGCGGGGGGCGGGGGGGGCGCCCTTCCCCTTGCCTTCCCTCTTCCCCGAAGGCCGATGGCCTGGTTAGAAAGCACCCGGCCCGGGACTTGACTTTATTTCTAGAAACAACTCTTGGATTTGGTTAAGCCGACGTCCTGCCTCAGTTGGAGATCTGGGTGTATGTGGTCAATAAAACCATGTTTACCCACCAGGCATGACCTAGCAGGAGAAGGACCTCGGCCCAACTAGCCTTTCTCCAAAAGGAAGCTGAGGCTTAGGAGCCCCACTTAAAATCAGTGTCCTGTGCCATGAACCATGAACAGAATCCCATGCCACGAGTCTTGAAGCGCTAGTGCCTGCTGATGAGCAACTGGGCACGTGATCTTTACAGCTCAGCGGACACTCCACCTGGAGGTGTACACAAAGATCTGACAGAGGAGATTCCGCTGATCTAGAATCATCTGCCACATTGCTTTATTATCCAGTTGCCCCCGCGGGAATGGCTCATGCGTCTGGCGGGACAGCAGGCCACCCCCACCCGGGCATCGCGGAGTGACCACACTGCCCTGCCAAGTGCTTGACATGGTGGAACTCAACAAGCACCAGGAAGCCGCTCACCAAGGCCCAGGGCTGACTGCTGAGCGAGGGGGACACCAGGAGCTGGGGCTCTGACGCTGCAGGGAGCCGGAGTCCCTGAGAACTAGCAGACACGGGCAGCTGCATGTCAGAGGAAGCCCCCGATGACAGGCGGCTGGAGGTGGCCCATGACAGGGCCACCTGGGCTAAGTAGATGACCAGGCAGATTTCCCCAGTCCCCAGCAGTGACCAGCCCAGGGTTTCTTCTTGGGCTCAAAGCACCTGTTGCTCTCAGCTCTGACACATTGTCTTTAAGAAACACAGGACCCCTCCACCCACCGTGCGGCAGACCCCCTGGCTCTGCAGCATGGGCGCAAATTCCACATTGTAGCTGAAGTGACCCAAGCCGGGAGATGCCCGCGGGGCGGTGGCCGGCAGTGGCCCAGCCTGCAGGACTTGGAACTGACTTCCTGGGCAAGTAACTGTCAGTCACTGGCTAAAACGCTCCAGCACCTGAGACTTTCAATAGAGTGGCCTCCTGTAGGAGCCGGGGGTGGGGAACACGAGGCCATATTCACCAGCCAGGACCTTCCCTGCCTTCTCGTTCTTCAGACCACCACAGCAGAGTTGGACGCAACCAAAAAATAATTTGGGCAAAAAGGAAAGAGGATCAAAGAAGACAAAGTCAGTCAAGCACATCTGTGCATGCCCGTAGAGACGTCAAAAATCTGTGATGCCACAAAAGAAAATATGCTAAAGTCTGAAAGTGTGTGTCTGTCTTGGGGACTTTATGGGAATCTTTTACTTTTCCTTTGTAGTTTTCCAATTCTTCAAAGTTTTGGCAATGACTATTGCTTTTATAATTATCTATTTGGGACATTTTATGATCATAAAATTGATTTTTAAAAATCAAGGCTCTCCAGCTGATGAGTGCAGCTCTTCACCATCCACACAGCCACGGTGCCACTGCAGAGGGGCTCTTGAAATGCTCTCAGGAAGCCCCGTCCTGGGAGAGGACCCAGACTGAGGTGCCCCAGGACTCAGGCTGTGAGCCCACTGGCAGGAGTTTAGGGCTGGAAGGTGTCTCCCTCTCCTGTGGGCAAAGAGTCCAGGGTGCAGGGTGGCCTCCCCTCCTCAGGGGCCTGCTTCTGCACGTACCTGAGGATCTGTCCCCACAGATGGCACAGATGTGTTTAACCAGAGATCCGGGGCTGGCCGACGGGTAGCTCATGTTTCCCAGCCCAGGAATCCCCGGTAAGGGCTTGATGTCCTCCGAGCTGCTGACGCTGTTGACCACATTGAGCTGGAAGAAAACACATGAGTAAGCCTGGCCAGAGTGGACCTGTGCCCAGGGCCTGCGGCAGGGAGCGCACTGCAGGAGACACAGGTTCACATCAGGGAGCCGTTCCCAGCACAGAGGTCGGGAACTGCCTCTGGGACGTCAGCCTAAGGCAACAAGTCACACAGGAGAGGAAGGCGACCCTGACCCAGGTTACTGCACTCAGAAGGAGAGGAAGGCGTATCCAGGAGCTAACCTGACCCTCACCCTGACCCAGGTTACTGCACTCCGTCTCTGCTGGCGAACAGAGACGGGTCGCACACGGGTCGCACTGTCCCACTGCTGGCAGGGACAGTGTCAGCTGTGCCACCAGGCCAGACACTGTGCCCGGCTCCAGGGCACAGAGGCAGACATAAATGCACACCCTGGTGGAGCTCACTGTGAAGAGGAAGGGAGGTGCAGGCTCACCCCACGAGCCCACTGAAGATGCCACCAAGTGCCCAATCATCGCAGAAGCACCGAAATCATGTCGAGGGCCCCAGGGTAGGTATTTGAACTTGTCTGTAAGTAACAGATGGCCCTCCATGAAAGCAGAAAACCTGCAGACAGTTCTGCTTCCTCTCTCCAGCGCCGATGTGGGGCCAGCAGGTGGCAGAGCGGGCAAAGCTGGCCTCCCGTCTGCCTCCCACCAGCTCCCGCCCACCCCGCAGCATCCAGTGCTCTTGGGAGGTGACTGAGAAGTCGCTGCTCAGTGTTTTATGTCCACCGGAGAAAACACCTTAACAAACGTGAGACTGATCCCAAGTTCCTCTGGGTGCCCCTGGGCCTGGGCCAGCACTGAGAAGGAGGCACAAAACCTAGGTCTCTCTCCCATCTGCAAAACACAGTCCCATGGAGGAGCCAGAACAGGGGCAAGCACCAGAAGGTAGAGCAGGGTTGGTGGTGCACGCGTGTCCCCAGATGCCCCGTGGCCGTCCAGGGCTGAAGGAGGGTGCCGGGTTTCTGTTCTCACGACTAAAAGGCTCAGAGGTCACTCCAGTTGAACTGGGCTGACTGGGCTGCACAGAATAACCACACAAGAGACACAAACACCTTTTGCTTTGGGGTCACTGTGACGGCTCCTCTGACCTTAGGGGTCCACAGGAAGAGAGAGAGAGAGAGCACGCGCTGACCCCTTTTATTGAGGAGAAGCTACTCAGATGAGGCCAGGGGTCAGGTTCAGGGGGCTGAGTCTATCTTCATGATGTCCACTGTCAGCAGGTTGTCTGACACCTGGGTAGGCCACACCCAAGGGCACAGTAAGAGAAGGGGACACACACAAGGCACTTCCATGGAAGATTCTATCCTAAACAGGGCAAGGGGTTAGATTACAGAGGAACAGGTGAGCGTAGCTCCACCCACGGGGCTGTAGGAAGACACACCCGTGCACGAGACACCGACCCTGGAACCCAAGAAGGGTGGGGAAAGCTCTGCCACATTTCTGTGACGCACCCGGCCGGGGAGTGTGAGCCAGTCATGTGCAAGGTTGGTCTCCCACAGGAGGGCATCCCCGTCCCCTCTGCTATTGAATCTCGTCTCCTCACCAAGGCCGCTGCGATTCCCAGGCTGAGCGGGCTGGGCCCTCCTCCTCTACTCCAGGGCTGTGGGATGTAGGGGTGAGTGACAAGACACAGCCAGCCAGAGAACCCGCAATGGGATTCTCCAAGTCACGGGCGTTTCAGTTCACAAAGGAAATGCTTATGGAGCACAGGAGTGGACAGAGGGTCCAGGGGCATGTCATGAGGGATGGGGAGAAGACACAGCCTTTGGTGCCTCACTTTGAAACAGAGTCACCATTGCTCTTAAGACGTGTTTTGTGTAACCGCTACACGCGTGCGGTGGGAGGCCCCTCGGGTCACAGGCTGATGGCCCCGGGTGGGCGCCTTTGCTCTGTCTTGAGGCAGCACCGTGGTCCCCGGCCCAGGTGCATGCTGGGAGCTTTCAGAGAAACCACTGCTGCCTGCCACCTGGACAGCCTGATCCCCAGTGTCTCAGCTCCCCAGCACCCGGGCACGGCCCTGGTAGGGACCACAGGTGCAGAGTGACCCCCGCCTGCACATGGCCTCGGCTCTGCCCGAGAACCTCAAGAAGGTGGAAATCAGCACTTGCATCGCCCCAGAGGGTGGGACTCAAGGTCAGCTGGCACCGCGGCTCTGCCCCCAATCCTCAGACGGGCAGAGAGGTCGAGGGATAGGAGGCCACCGTGGATCAGAGGACCTTGCCATCCCCCGTACCCCGTCTGCAGCAGGACGGCCCCGTGTGGCCAGCCCACGCTGTCACAGAACAGTGGTCCTGTTGTGGACCACTACAGAGCCTTGCTTGGGGCTCTTCAATTCTTTCAATCCTCACAACCCGGAGGTCTTCCTATTTCATGTCCGAGGACACTGGGCCCTAAAGTGGTTTGTCGATTTGCTCATTCAGAAATGGCATGAAGACACAGAGAGGAGGGATGCCGGCACTGTCTCCCAAACTGGCCACCGAGATCAAAGTCCGTGGGCAGCTGAGGAGGAAGGAGAAGGAGCACATCCTACTGGTCAGGGAGACTTCCAGGAGCAGGAATTTTTGAACTGAGCCCTGGAAAGTGGGCAGGATTGGACGGACCAGTGTGGACAAAGGCTTCCCGAGCAAGGCCCGGAGGGAAGCCCAGGGTCTGTGGAGCGCACGTGCCCAGGGGAGGCTGAGAGGCTAGGCTGCGGTGGGCTGTGACAGAGCCTGGAGGCTCTCGATGGCCAGCAAGGAAGCGATGGTTTGGGAGGCAACGGGGAGCCCCTCGAGGACTGAGCAGAGGAGCCATGCCCTTGAGACTCCTCCTCCGAGAAGGACAGGACACGTGGCACGCAGAAGGGCAGGTCCACCTCCGAGGAAGACAGGACAAGTGACGTGAGGACTGAGGAGAAGCCCAAGGCTGTTCCACCTGCCCAGGTCCCAGTTAGGTCCCAGCCAGGCCCAACTGCCGGGAGCCAGAACCCTACGCTCCGGATCCAGGTCATCGACCTGGGTGTCAAGAGGACCTTGGTCCCCGCCTGCTCCAGCAGCTTCCCCCCCCCACCTCCTGGGCCAGGACCCCCTGGAAGAGCTTTGGCACAGTCCCCAGTCTGAGCCAGCCCCTCTCCGACACCTCTTCATGAGTCCAGATGGTGAGAGGACAGAGTGGTGGGACAGGTGGCTGGTGTTCTCTCCCCTCTCTCTGGCTGACTTGGGGACTGGGTGGACCTAGAGCGCAGTGGCTCTACGTCCCGTCAGAGCGCGGGTCTGTCGGCCTGGAGTCTTCTGCCCGCCCCTCTTGTTCCACTGGAGCCCGCTCCGCTGTGCAGGGCACCTCAGAGCAGGGGTTCACCAGACAGGGGGTGCGTCTGCCTCTCCAAGCAGGTTGGCCGCTCCCCAGCCCTCGGCAGAAACACCCTGGGCAGCCGGCTGGTCTTCGTCTGCAGACTCAGCGGGGACCGCTGCTTCCTCGATGCTCCGGCAGCCTCCATGGATGCCGGTCCCACCTTGCTGAGCCGTTTGCAGCTCCATGTACTCCAAAGGCCTGGCTGCAGCAGGCGCTGCTGTTCCCGCGTGCAGAACCCACACATGGGCTGTCCTGCGGTCCAGGCGGGGTCCTCTTCACAAGGACTGACAGGCCTGGACCTTCCACCCGGCTCCTGGTCTGGACTTGCCCCTGACTCACTGTGTGGTCTTGACCAAGTCCTTCACCTCACAGAGACTCCACTTCCCCATCCCTAGGGTGGGTCCAGGCTGTTCAAATCTACAGCGTGTGTGTGTGTGTGTGTGTGTGTGTGTGTGTGTGTGTGTGTAGGAAGTGGGGAGGCTGAGGTTTCACATCTCCTGTGCCTTGCTTGACCGAATCTGATTTCATTTGACATGTAAAGTCATCTAATATGCTCTCACTTGAAGAAAAGACTGTGGCTTAAGTTTTTTTAAGTCGTCAGATTAGATGAAATTTAAGGTCCATTCCAGTTCTAATATTGGCAATTTTTAAATCTAAGTATTTACTATAAAAATATAAACAGATTTGAGAGGATAATAACTCAGTTATCAATGAATTCCTAAGCAGTAATTAGTAAGGACAGAACCAGGTCAGGCAGCAGGGTCAGAAGGGAGGATTCTGAAGATGTGTAGGATCTTTCCAGGCGTGCGCTCACGCTCTCTCTCTCTCTCTCTCTCTCTCTCTCTCTCTCTCTCACACACACACACACACACACACACACACACACACAAACTGCAGCCCAAACCATTCTCTCTAAAAGGGCATAAGTGTGTTCCCAGTTACCCACTTGGTGTCTTTGGAGATCGCTCAGTCCACTAGCATGCTCCCAGGCAGGCACTGACCCTCACATAGCCTGGGCCTCTCCAGTGCCCAGTCCTGGGCCTGGTTCCATGAAGGCATGTGAAATGCACCTCTCTAGAACCTTCTGGCAGCTTGCTACACCTGGACAGCCAGGTATGGGAAGGACAACACTGTCACCACATGCCTGCCACAGGGCACTGTGCACAGCACTTTCTCAAATCCACGTCCCCTTTGACACAGAAGTCCCTGCCGGGTGACCAGGGCAAGTATGTGCAACGCCAGCAGAGAACAGGAAAGCCCACAGGAGCCAGCTGAATGGTTGGCAAAAGGTCACTGGGTCCCTGCCCCTGCGCCCGAGCTTCCCCTAATTCCTCAAGATGGAAAGGGGAGCAGACGGCCGCTCACACAGCAGAGCGCCGGCCGGCGAGGCCTGCCTGCTGCCCCGGCCCAGGCTCTCCTCTCCACGCCCAAACGCGCTTACCAGTCACAGGTGGAGCATGCTTCCTTCACGAGTCCCACCCCGGCGAGTCCTAGGCTAGGATGACCCGGTGCACAGGAGCTCTGCCCCAAGTGGTCCGAGTCCACGACCCGCGGTAACACAGAGGCCTTCTGGCTGGGCAGTTGGGTGAGTTGGGCAAAGTTCCGCTGCCGGGTGGTTCCGGAGCCCCAGCCCTGAAGGCTGGTGAGTGTCCGGTCACAGCTCTGCCAGCACTTGGCAGCTTAATTTAGCTCCCAAGGCCAAACTTGGCCTGGCCTCTGCACACGGCCCAGTTGGCCAGGACCACGCTCCCAGCTGACCTCTCATCCCTACACTGTGCGGACTTGGGGCCAGGACAGCCCTGCCGCTCCGGCTGTAGAGACGAGTGCCCTGGTCGGGGCTGGTCAGTGGAGTGTGGTCGCTCAAGGCAGCCTTGGAGGGAAGTGGCTGCCCTCCGCTGCCCCAGGGGCCTGCCGCCGCCGCCTTCCCCTCTGCTGCTCCACAGAGAGCAGATTGCTCTGGGAAATGACCGCACTGATTCCTCGTCTTGTCTGTTGTGACTGTCACAGCACCACTGCCGTGAGACACAGACTCTGGCCACCGTGCTCAGCGTGTGTCCCCAGATCCAGGTGGCGACGAGCAGCACCTACACACAGTAGGCCCGCACAGTGGTGCACCCGCCCCAGAACGCAGCAGGTCTGTCTGTTCCTCCCTCCTGGAATCGGCACAGGGAGGAAGGTGAGCGCGCCCCACGCGTTCCAAAGGGCTGGCACCTGTGCTCTGCCGAGCCGCGGGGTGGGGTGGCATAAACACATCCCCACGCCCCAGCAGTCTTGCACCCCCGCTGCCACAGAGGCCGACAGGTCAGGCAGGTCACAGCCCTCCCTGCTCCTTCATCTACAATAGTGCCTTCGACGTGGCACCCCTGCACGAGATTCCTCGGGGCCAGGATAAGGAATTGTCCCGTGTGGCTCTGGAGGCTGCCACGCCTCAAGATCTACAGAGAGGGTGGGCAAGCTCGGGTCCTGGGACTGCCATGTGGTCTGAGGGCGGCAGGCTCGAGCCGGGAGGAGCCCGTGTTTCTGTTCAAGCTGGAGGCAGGACAAGACCAGCCCCAGGCTGCGGACGTCAGGCAGGAGGAGTCTTTCTTGCTCAGGCAGGAACGGCCTTTTGTTCTGTTCAGACCTGGTGGGTTGCAGGCCCGCCCCCACACACACACCACAAGGGCAGTCTGCTCTGCCTGGTCTACCTGTCATCCAGACACTGGAACAAGGCTTGACCAGATATCTGGTGGCACTGTGGCCTGGGGAGGTTGGCCACCGTGACCGGCCGCCCGAGCTGTGCTGGGAGTGGGCAGCAGTGACGCTGGCTGTTACCCAGGAAGAGACCACCTAGTAGGTGTGGCGCGCAGGGGCTGTCCTTCCTAGCTTGCCACTCCTCCTAAGGCTTCCCGTCCTGTGCCGTGACTAGCAGGGACAGCCTCCTCCTGCCGTCAGTGCTGGCATCCGCCACATGCCGTGTGCAGAGGCTTCGCTGTGCGCCCTGGGTTGGGCTTGGCCTTTGCACTCTGTGAGTCACCCTGGGAAGCATGCCCAGGAGCACTGCCCTTGTGGGTGACCCGAGCCTGCACAGAGCCCAGGACGCCAGCCGTCTGAAGCAGAGCCCTCCTGGTGCACAGCAGGCTTGAGAAGAGTGGGAGACCAAGGGTTGCTTTTGCAGGCCTCCTGATTCGGGAGCCGTTTTATGCAGCACTGTTGCAGCCACAGCAAGTGGGCAGGGCCGCTGCTCAGGAGGGGAGGGCATCTGGCCCTTCGCAGGCCCCCCCCCCAGCCTCGCTCCCTGCTGTTGTGCACACAGCTGGAGATGGCACGGATGTAACATGACCTGTGTTGCTCTGGGGGGTCCATGTGCAGCTCCTGCCTCTCCCCTCTCCACTGAACGCCTGGGGGGGGGGGTAGCAGAGACCAGGTCCTGCTGGTTTCTGAATTCTAACCAGAGCGTGGGCACTTCACCGCCTCCACATCGATCGCCAGGTTGAGAACACAGGGGGCCACGTTCCCAACAACAAAACAGGCCTGGGAGTCACAGCCAGGGGTGAGCCACCCGAGCTACCTGGGTGGTGTCCCTCTCCTGGGCCCCGAGGAACAGTCCACTCCCGGGACTGCTCAGCTGGAAGGCAGGGCCCGACGCTACAGGGGGCTGCCTGCAGGGAAGACCACCACCACCACGCGTGCATGTGCCCAGCAGCGGCTCTGCTCCGGGCCCCCGGGTGAGCCTTCGGGGGCTGCGCGCTCCTGCAGGTAAAGTACCTACCTGAGAGCTGGGTGGGGCCACCAGCCTGACTCCTGGAGGGGCCGCCAGCGCCCCCGAGGGTGGGCCCATGGCAGTCGTGATGACGCGGTACGGGGAGCCCAGAGCAGTGAGGGGGGTCCCCGTCGCGCTCAGCGTCCGTGGGGCACTCACAGGGGTGTCCGTGAAGCTGGGGTGGCTGTCCATGGGCTTCCCTGTGGACAGGGCTGCTGACGGGCTCATGGAGGTGGAGCCGGCGTGGCCAGGGGAGCCTGTAAGGAGAGAGCACAGGGGACAGGGTGGGGTCAGACATGGTCGGGGGCCGGCCAGCCTGCCTCGCCTGGCTCCATTTATCCTTCCCCTCTGGCCACTCCTGCACATTTGTGGACCCGGGGGTCACACCTGCACTGAGCCAGCAATGGAGACAAGCCCAGGATCGCAGGGAGCTGGCCTGCCCTGGGATGGGGCCCTCATGATGTCCCAGCGTTTGGGGCCCTGCCTGGAGTCCACTCTAGATGATGGACAGACAGCAATGCCACAGGGGGTGGCCCACAAGCCCAGGCCTGGGTGACGGCGTGGTCCAAGAATAAGGGGGTCAATGCCAAAGCCCCAAGTGGGGGTGGGGGTGGGGGTGGGGAGGGCAGATGCGCAGGCTGCTCCAGCCTTCCCCACGGAGCTCCGGGAACTGGGCAGTGTGAGGCAATGCACTTGTGTGTGGACGCGGCCCTGCCCACAGGAGTCCAGGCCACAGGACCCAGGGAGCCACAGAGTCTGCACCGTGCACCGTGCACCTCCCGGCCCTTGTCTTTTGGAGCTTTTTGCCCACAGATTTTGTCCTGCCCAGCTCTACAGCAAGGGTCACTGGCCCTCGGGAGGAGAACTTGGAGAGGCTGGTCCTGGCTTCATGGCCACGGAGGCCCAGTGCCTGTGGGTCTGGGGGTGTGCAGGACAGCAGCATTGGCCAGTGGTGTCCAGCACGCTTCCCCCATCCAGCTGAGCTCCTGCCCTCCTGCAGACAGTGGCCAACTCGAGAGGAAGGAGAAGAAGAGGGTCTGGAGAGTCCCGCGTGTCCATTCTCTCCAGGAGGGAGCTGCTTGGGCTCCGTGTTGGCAGAGGCTAGGACACACAGGGGCAGCCCTCCCTGCTCTGGCCCCTGGGGATCAGGCACGCAGAGCTGCACCCACATGCAGAGTGAGGACTGCCCTCAGCTCAGCCGCAGCTGTCCCCAGGGGAGAAGCAAGAGGATGGGCGGAGGGTAAGTGCCTGGCGGCGGCTCCTGCAGAAGCTGCCCACATCCGAGTGCTCACTGCCCGTCAAACTCCATGCCACGCAGAGGCCGTACTGACCATGAGGCTTGTGTTCACTGAACAAGCCCTGGAGTGTGCCCACTGGCTGTAGGCACTGTCCTAAGCTAAGTGCCAGGTGAGGAGGGGGACACGCAGAGGGACTTGCTGCCTTCAGAGTCGGGGAGAGCAGGGAGCATCCCAAATGAACGGCTCTCTGTGGCACAAAGGTCACACTCACATCCCGGAAATGCAGCCTGTGCAGCTCCAGTCCATCTGGGCAGCTGGGCAGCCACTAAGAAAACTTCAGCTCCTTCTCACCCCCAGCCGCCCCCAGGTTCAGGACACCTGGCCTGAGTGCCATCATCTAGAAAGCTCTTGCTCATCCTTCAAGGTCAACTTCAGTGTCACCTCCTCCAAGAAGCCTTCCTGGCGTCTCTTGCTCAGGTCTGACGCCCCTTCTGTTTCCTAACTGCAGTCCACGCTTACTGGTGTCTCAGCCCTGATTCTATTTCCATGTTTGTTAATCTTCCTGTCTTTCCCACCCTTAGAACAGTGCCCGCCCTGCCCTGCCGGGGTTCTGAAGGCAGAGCCCACGCGCTCTCCTGTCTGCTGTCAAGGACAACAGGATGAGTGGACAGCCATCTGCATCACAGAGCTGCAGATGACTCAGTCATTGAGGGATCTGAAGCCCAAAGTTCACCTGAAGGAGAGAGAAGAGGGCGCTTCCAAAACCTCAAGCCAGGAGCCTTGCAGACGCCCGGTTTGCACAGAGCCTTCTGGGCTCTTCTGAGGCCTGGGAGGCTGACGTGGAAGAGGCTCAGCAGACCTGAGTGGGCTTCGGGGACAGGGACAGGTGACTGGGAGCCAGCCCTGACTGGACACTCCCCCAGGGCAGGTCATCGGAAGAGGCACTTTCCAGGCCCCACCCAGGGCCCCTTCTTGTCCTCGGCTCTAACTGGCTACCAGGAGCTGGGCCTTCACTTCCGGCCCCCAGGGTCAAGCGCAGGGCCTGGCCCCAAGCCTAGCGCAGAAAGGTGGGCAGCAGCACCTGCACCACCCTGACAGGGGGGTGAGCCAGGCCTTAAAAACCCCAAGAGTTTCTGGGTTGTTTGAGGGGAGGGTCCTTATGTTGGTAGCAAGTGACTGGCCTTCCGAAAGGTAGCTATTTAATGGGTAAGTGACCAAACTGACACTTCCCCAAAAGAGCATAAATGGCCAATAAACAGATGAAAAAGTGTCAACGTCATTAGCAATTAGGGAAATGCAAATCAAAACTACCCGAGATTCATCTCAAACCAGGCCCAGGGGCAGTCACGAAGAACCAGATAACCATGCTGGAGAGGATGCGGAGAAAAGGGGCAGTGTTACGCTGTGGCTGGGCTGTAAGTGCAACCGCTGTGGAAGTCAGCGTGGAGGGACTCAAAGGCGAGGCCTGGATCCATCCTATGACCCAGCAGCACCATCCTCAGCATCTACCCTGAAGAATCAATCACCACCTACAGTGAAACGTACATACCGTGTTTACAGCAGCAGGATTCGCAACAGCCAAGTTACGGAATCAGCCTAGGTGTCTACCACAGATGGACAGATGAAGGAAATGTGGTCTACACGCACCATGGAGTTTACCGGCCATAAGGGAGAATGAGATCATGTCATTGCAGGAAAGTGAGTGGAACTAGAGACCATCATGTTAAGGGAATAAGCCAGACTCAGAAGTCCAAGTTCTATGTGTCCCCACATGTGGAAGGCAGAGAGGAGAAAGGGAAAGGAGGAAAGTCCACAGGGGGTCAGGAGGGGGAAGGGAGTGGGGAGGGATGTGAGGGGAGAAGGGAAGTGTGGGGAGTGACCCTGGCCAATCATGTTGTCCTGTTGGGAGCGAGTGCAAACGTGTGACGACAAATCCCACCATCACCTACGATGGACCAATAAGATACGGAATTAAGAAGAGAGCTATTTAAGCTTTTAAAAAAATAATAAATTGATTTCAGAAAAAGTCCAAGTATATTTTATACTCTGTATAAAGTATCATGGAAATTAGGCTGCAGATTCATGATGTCTGAGAAACCCGGGCCTGCACAGAAATACACAGACGGGGACCACGAAGAACTCACAAGACACTTCAAAACAGAATCAGGTGGTATCATCAAAGTGATCTGAAATTTATAGTAGATGGTTGTTATTGTTATTATTAATAAAAATTAAGGCAATCTGACTTGTCGGTGCAGTGGTGAGAATAGCAAATTGGGAGAAGATGAAATAGCAAGTTTAAGTTTGGTTTTTAAGGATCTTACAAATGGGGCTGGGGCTGGTGGTGGCTCAGTGGTAGAGCATTTGCCTAGCATGTGGGGGGTACTGGGTTCAATTCTCAGCACCGCATATAAATAAATAAAATAAAAGCCCATTGACACCTAAAAAATATTTTTTAAAAATGTGGCTAATTTCTGCCAAGTCAATGACTGAGAAGAGGTGGGCTATTTTATGACATATTTTTTAAAAATAAAATGGATACATACATCTCACGTAAATGGCCTTTGGTACTTTGCTTCTCCAAGAAGTTAGAAATAAATAGCTTTGCGTTTAGAAAAGATGGAGAACAATGGCTTTTCTAACTGGAGTGTTCTGGGAAGTTAATCCTTCTCGCAGACGCAGCTCACAGTCTCCAGCCCCAAAGGTACCACGGGTCCTCCACACACTTGTCTATGGTGCCTGGTCTGTTCTCTTTCTTCACCGGGCCTTTTGCTTAAGCTATAAATGAGCACAAAACTATCAACCGGTTCCCGCGGCAGCATCCGAGCTGCAGTGGCGGCTCCTTTTTAAGAATAAGTGGCATTTCCAGCAAATTGATCCAGAGTAGTTTCTCTCTGTCCCTCAGCCCAGGCCAGGCCAAGTCCGAATCTGAAGTCCAGCTTCTCTCTGGTGCCCGTCCACTCTCGGTCTCTGCCACGGCTTGATCGTGTGTCCCTCCAAACTCATTCTGGGACTTAACCCTCAGGAGGGCAGAGTGAGAGGTGCCTGTGGGCGGTGAGCCGGCCTCCAGGCTCCACCCACCAGGGCCCTCTGAGGGAGCCAGGGAGCTGCCTGGCCCTTCCACCCCTTCCTCTTACAACCACACGGGGCTGTTCCCCGGCTTGCTTCACTCCTTCCCTCATGTGAGGGTTCAGGACTGGGTGAGAGGCTCCCTCTTGGAAGCAAAGACAGAGTCCTCTCTGGCCCCAATCTGCTGTGGCCCCTCCAGCCTCCAGAACTCTGGGCAACACATTTCTGTTACGCCTAAGTGTCCAGGTCTGAGGTGTTTTGTCACAGCCATAGGATCGACCGAGACAGCCCCAGCCCAGTCCCCTGTGTGTGAGGACCCTGCCCTCGGCCAGGTGCCCAGAGGCCTGGAGAATGTGTCTGTAGATTGCATTCTCTTTCGCCAGCAATGGCTTCATAAAATGACCTACTGATGGGGTTTCTCAGGGGGCTCCTCTCTCCTGGCAGCAGGTCGAGAGACGTGTTCTGCAGTCCCGAGCCTCATCTTCCCAGGAGGAAGCTGGCACTTGGCGACCTGCACACCCCCCTCCGGCTCTCACACTTCCTGAGCACTGGGTGAACACGGCTCCCTGACGCTGGGTGAACAAAGGAGGTGCCAGAGGTGGAGGTCAGGACCGTCTGAGTCTAACCGTCTTGCGAGGACCTGCCGTCATCCGCCGGACCGCACTGAGGCTTCAAGCTACGTGGCAGCTTCAGTTTGAGATGCTGCCTGTCCCCAGGAGCCAAGCCTGGGTAGGGATCTGCAGAGCACCTGACGCTACAAGAATCTCGAGTCCCTGTGTGCACTGTGGCCCCGAGGCTCCGGGGGTGAGCTATGGAGAAGCAGGTGATGCTGAGGCCAGAAGCCCCAGGTGGACCCCAGGTGGGCCCCAGGTGGACCCCAGGTTCACCACTCTCCAGATGGGACCTCTGTGAGCTGAGGCGCCTCGGTGCCACATCAAGTCATTCATGTGGCTCAGAAGCTCACAAGGCCCCCGAGCCAGCAGCCCAGCAATGGGGACCCTGTCACTACCCCTGTAAGTGTGGTGAGGTCAGGACAAGTGTGGTGTGGGGCCGTGGCAGACGAGGGTGTGTGTGAAGAGTGGCCTCACGCAGGTGAGGAGTGGGTCTCAGCTAAGGTGTCATCGCCAAGCCCTGCTCCAGACACACCAGTTGTTCACAATGTGGAATTTTCTGAATGGTTCAGAAATACCACTGCTCTGAACCCAGACAGCACCCCATTATGCCAGCCAGCCCAACCACTCCTAGGGAGCCCTGGGTCTCCCCATAATTCACCCTGACACACGATTCCCATTCTGAATTCCCTCCCTTTGCTGATGGCAATCATCACAGCACCTCGTACTGTGTCTGGAACACAGTGAATACCAAAAAGGAATAGTTGGTGACTAAGTTAATGAACAGTATGGTGTTTGCTGATTACTGTGTGTAACTAGATGTAGAGCTGATCAACATCTCCTCCACATAAGAAATCAACATTGCTGATGTTTACCAGAACAAAAGCCCTGGGAAATCTCTAAACAAGTGAAGAGTGTGTGTGTGTGTGTGTGTGTGTGTGTGTGTGTGTGTTCACTCAAGCAGGCGAGCAAGAGAACAGGAGAGGAGAGAGAGACTTGCTGAGAAAGAGAAGCCGGCAGGAGAAGACCGATTCCCACCAAGGTGAGGGAGTTGCTTAGCAACCTCCTCCCAGCCAATGGGAGGGAAATGTCAAGCCTGAGTCCCTCTGACTGGCCGACAAGGGAGCGAATGGCGCGGCTGTCCACCCTGGGCTGCTGTGCCAGGGTGCAGGGTGTGCTCTCTGGTTGGCAGCCTCTTCAGGAGGGAATGGGAACTCTGAGCCCATGGATGGGGAAGGGTCAGGTCCTCCTCAGAGCAGGACTTTCCACTTAAGTCGGCGTGCATCGAGGGGCCCCAGCCCACCCATCTCTCTGCGATGGGACAGGCCACGCCGAAGCCTGCCTCCCTGCCTCCAGGAGAGAGATGTGGCACATACTTGACAATCACAGAATACCCAGACACCTGGCTTGTTCTTTGTCTAAGGAAACTCACGTGTCCTTTCTCTCCTTGGCTTTTAACACACAGACTGCTGAGCAAGCCTCGTCAGCAGGTCCACCCACCCCATGAAGGACTTTAATTGACACTTTTATGTCATCTCCTCCGCTGAGTAGCAGCAACAACAGCCTAGCTAGTGTTACTGAGCAACTGGCAGCAGCCCCGAGGCCCCAGCCACACACATTAACCCGCTTCTCACCACATGGTTGGACTTGGCTGCTCCTGTTGCCCTCACTGTACACAGGCAAAATCCAAAAGGAAGGTGGCTAGTAACCGGGGCACGTGTCTTTTGAGTCCAGGAAACGCAGCACGTATGGCGCTGTGACTCTGACCTCCCGCAGTGACCCCACAGCCCTTCCTGCCCTCGCCAGCCCTACTCTTGGCCTGAGGATCCAGCCCTGAGCCTTTCTGGCCGGAACGGCCCATCCTGGCACTAGCCCATCACAATGCAGAGCCTGCCCTGGCTCCCTTCAGCAGGGCCCCAGCCCAGGCCAACCCCCCACCCCTCTATAAAAGAGCCAGACGCTGGGGTTGTCGATTGGCATTTCTTGTACCTGAATTGCTATCAGCGTTTTCAAAGCACTTTCCCGTGAGGGTTTGGCTGCACGGCCATCCTGAGACTGGACGGGGAGGTGCTGAGACCTGTTCTGGAGATGCGAAGCTCTGCATCTGAACAGAGGTGGAAAACAGACTGGAGCCATCAGTGTCCAATGAGGGGCGGCCAGAGTGGAAGCCAGTTTAGGAGGAGCCTTCTCCGAGGCCAGGGCCCTTCCTGGCTTTCTCAATGTGGAAAATAAAGGAACGAGGTGGAGAGTGAGGAGGCCCGGCCCCTCCCCGGAGTCTTTGCGGGCATCAGCTCTGGGCTGATGCCCTATGCCCAGGCCCTCAGGACCAGCTGAACCAGCTGCCAGTGGCCCTTGTGGTGGACAGGACGGTTCTGCCTGGGCCCTTGTGGTGGACAGGACGGTTCTGCCTGGGCCCTTGTGGTGGACAGGACGGTTCTGCCTGGGCCCTTGTGGTGGACAGGACGATTCTGCCTGGGCCCTTGTGGTGGACAGGACGGTTCTGCCTGGGCCCTTGTGTCACACAGGACGGTTCTGCCTGGGCCCTTGTGGTGGACAGGACGGTTCTGCCTGGGCCCTTGTGGCACACAGGACGGTTCTGCCTGGGCCCTTGTGTCACACAGGACGGTTCTGCCTGGGCCCTTGTGGTGGACAGGACGGTTCTGCCTGGGCCCTTGTGGTGGACAGGACGGTTCTGCCTGGGCCCTTGTGGTGGACAGGACGGTTCTGCCTGGGCCCTTGTGTCACACAGGACGGTTCTGCCTGGGCCCTTGTGGCACACAGGACGGTTCTGCCTGGACCCTTGTGGTGGACAGGACGGTTCTGCCTGGACCCTTGGGGCACACAGGACGGTTCTGCCTGGGCCCTTGTGGTGGACAGGACGGTTCTGCCTGGGCCCTTGTGGTGGACAGGACGGTTCTGCCTGGGCCCTTGTGTCACACAGGACGGTTCTGCCTGGGCCCTTGTGGCACACAGGACGGTTCTGCCTGGGCCCTTGTGTCACACAGGACGGTTCTGCCTGGACCCTTGTGGTGGACAGGACGGTTCTGCCTGGACCCTTGGGGCACACAGGACGGTTCTGCCTGGGCCCTTGTGTCACACAGGACGGTTCTGCCTGGGCCCTTGTGGTGGACAGGACGGTTCTGCCTGGACCCTTGTGGTGGACAGGACGGTTCTGCCTGGGCCCTTGGGGCACACAGGACGGTTCTGCCTGGGCCCTTGTGGTGGACAGGACGGTTCTGCCTGGGCCCTTGTGGCACACAGGACGGTTCTGCCTGGACCCTTGGGGCACACAGGATGGTTCTGCCTGGGCCCTTGTGGTGGACAGGACGGTTCTGCCTGGACCCACGCAGCCCCAGGACAGCTGAAGGGGTGCATCGCCGGTGCTGGGGGGGGAGGGGGCATTTGTTCTTCTCCCCCTCCCCACCCCCTGCCCCCCTCCTCCCCTCTCCTACTCCCTGCCCCTCCCCTAAAATCTGTAATGACGAGGTAGTGAAAAGCAGGGAAAGATTGATAATCGGCCTCATTATTACTAGCATTATATATAATTATAGCAAAACCTCACTCATTTGGATCAATTGAGAGAAAAATCAGTCTAAATTCGTGACAAGTTGGCAGATTACTTTTAAATTAGAATTTTATTACTTCTAAGTAACACACGTGAATAGTTTGTGTTTCAAGTACCACAAGCTAATGGTTACTAAGTGGGGATTTTATAAAACCTGCTTTAAAAGACTCTTTTGTAATTAACACCCCGTTAATATGCTAATGACGCTCCTACTATGCTTTCTAAATTGTTGAAAACAGATGCACCTTAAATGGGCTCAACACCTCTCCGTGATCATCTCAGCTGCTTAACAACCTTTTCTCCTTATTATTTT